AGCCAGTGAGCGGGAACCGGTCTGTATGTGGGATCCGAACCCTCAGCGGGAGCGCCGCCGTACTTCCCAAGTGGCGCACTATCCAGTGCGCCACCGGGCTGGCCCTACAGTGACTTTTCTATGAGGGAACTAGAGAAAGACTTGGAGAGAATGTGTGTGAGTTGGGTGAGGTTGTCTCCAAGAACTAGACACACATAACCTCAAGAAGTTTGTGTGCCACGTATTGTAACAATTTCTATTTTCCTGTCAGATGCTCACTCAGATGCCAGCTCATTCTCCATCCTTTCTGAGGCATCGTTGGCGGATCTCAACTCCAGGCTGGAGAAGAAAGTTGAAGCAGCTAACTTCAGGCCCAATATTCTAATCTCAGGATGCGGTGTGTAGGCAGAGGTAGCACTGTGCCTTCCTTGCCTCTTTCCTTGGATTTAACTTTTTTTTAAGGTATGAGAGTCTTCAACATTGGATTAGATTATTTTGAAGGGTGCGTTATTTACTGACTCTGCTATGCAACAATTCAATGTTTAGATTTATTCAGCACCTAACACATGCAGATTTCTATGTGGAGGACACAAATATGGCTCAGGCAGAATCGCTGTTGTCAAGGAGATGATTCAGGGTCCCAGGCTTCTAAGGAGAATCCTAAGTAGGCAGATTCATTTCGGAGCCAGATATACTTAACATAGGCTACATGATCTGTGTGGGCCATGGAACAAAGAAAGCACGTGCTCGTGTCTTGTTGAAGATGGGCTTCCCGTTTAGTAGATGACTCCCTTGTGGAAGACAGCATGGCTGCTGGGTGGGGGGTTGTTGCCTGTGAGCTGATGGCACTGCCCTAAAACACTTCCAGTGCCACCTTCAATCCACCTTCAGCGGTCTGCGTTGAGACTAGCATGAGGAGACCTGACGCTCGGTCTCCAGTGCTCCACGTGACTCTGGTGGCAGATTTGCCTTCGTAACAGTTTTGGATGTTTAGTTTGCCCCTCTCCCTCATCTACTGTGAAGGCAGCAGCTGGGCCTGGAGGCTTGGCGAGTGGCCACCAGCTGTGGGTGCTCAGATGGGCACTAGCCCTCAGATGGGAGCTCAGGAGTTCTGGTCATGCTCTGGGTTAGTGTACGGGAAGGGAGGTAAAGGGAAGAAGAAAGTGATCCTTGCCTCTGTCCATTTCCTTGTGTCATGGGGAAAACTCAGTCCACACAATCAAGTGCTGACGCCTCACACTCAGGAGAGTTCATTCCGTCCTGCAGTTTTGCTCTGGGAGGCTGCGAGATGTGCTGAGTGCGAAGCAGCCTGGGGGCTTGACTCCCACGTTCAGACCAAGGACCTGCGGTCTGCTCTCGGCTGTCTCGCTGTCTTCCATGTGGCTCCATACAGTGCCCCGAGTCTCACTGACCTTGCCTGGAAAATAGGGTGACTGTTTCTGCCTGGATTACCTTGTAAGTCTGTGGAATGATTGATTGGATAAGGTAATTAATGAAAAGTATAAATCCAGTATCGATCAATGGAGGGTAATAGAAGTATCTCCAAATCCACCTTTAATGTTCTCTATAAAATACTCTTTGCTCAGTCCCAGACTTCCAAGCATATCATTTTTTCTAAAGATGGCAGAGCAGTTCCTAGTGTGAGGTGACTGAACTGTGTGTATTATCCCCCAAGATCCTGGGCTGGTCTGTTCCTCCATGTCCCTTTGTGATTAGGAGTGCAGGGGTCCTTGCTCCTGTGCACCATAGTTCAGCCTGACTTATCCAAGAGGAAAAAACAGTGTTTGGTCCCCTTCGACCATCTCATTGATATTCATCTTGCACGAGCTGTGGGCAGGACAGCATCTCCTGAGAGTTTTCCTTCTCAGGAAAAGAGGAATGAGGGCGGGTTTTTTATCTAGTGCTCATACTTTGCTTTACACGTGTCATCTTGTTTATTCTTCACAGCAGCCCTATGGGGTAACAGTTGTTCCCATTTCACAGGAAGAAGGGAGAGGCCAGGTAGGCCAGTTTGCTTGCCTGGAGCTATAGTGCAGCCAGGAGTGGAGGAGCTGGGCTTTGAACCCAGATTGTACCACAAGGCCAGAGGAACCTGAGAATTCTAGGGAACATGCATGGGGTCTGAACACCTGGATTCTAATTCACCTGCTTCAGTAGGTGGCTGTATAATCCCGGACAGGCCACTGAGCCCCTTGAGATTGCTGCTACTTGTACTTGTAAAGTGTGGGTGATTTCAACTGGCATCTCCCCTGATGGGAGCTGTGAGAATCACAGTCAATAACGACTTGTGGAAAAGCTCCAAGACATGAAGTACCATAGAGAGGTAGGGATATTCCATTTCTATACTTTCTCCCTGACTATGACCCACTTCAAGCTGTCTTCTTCCATGTGATCTTTGTGCCATGGTTTATGTTAAAGACATTTCCTACTGCAGAGTTCTGAGATGGCAAGATGTAGGTGGGATGACATGAGAGGAGAGGAGATGACCAGAGTAGGACTTCAGATCTAGGAGGTCTCTTTGAGTTGAATCTTATTCTAGAAACCTTTTTCTCTCTCTATCTCTGAGTGTTGCCTAATTGGGAACACTTTGTATTTTAAGTTGGTTAACACAGTAGTGGCTGAGTTGGCCTTGCTTTAGTAATTCCCTCATCCCATGGTGGGCTAGTGTTCCATGTTCCACACACTGTGCCTAGAAATGTGGGGATGCAAGAGTTGAAGACACACTGCTGTTTCTCCTAAGGAGCTCAGAGTACAGGAGCTCAGTAGTGAATAAAGCAGTTCCAACCCAGTGAGATAAGCCAGGATGGTGGTGGGTGACCACATCATGGACACAGACAGCGAGGTGTGAGCACAGGTTGGGGCACTCAGGGCACGGGCTTCTCATCTGTCTATGCTCACGCTTCCCATCTATGTTTTTCAAAACCTTCTCTACACTGAGGATCCCTAACTAATATCCATATGTGGAGTATACCAACATTTATAAAGCAAATGTATTTCACAGGGCCTATTTTCCAAAGCCCTGTGATCTCAGGTTTAGCCTAACCTTTTGGAATTACATACAGAAATGTTAACCTTGCAAAAGACAGGGAACTTTCCTCAGGCTAAAGATGTTGTAACACAGCAAAGTTGCTGACTCAAGGACAGACAAGTTTCTTGATTGATATGTAAAAATACTGGGGAAATTGCTGTAGGGAAGGAAAATGATTGCGAAGATCAAGCTTTTGTTGGTGGATGGACTTAACCTTTTGCAAATTGCATTATGGAATGTCACTTTGCTTGTTTCACTGATATTACCAGCCTCTATTGTTAAACCCTGGCTATGTTCTTTTCCTGTAACTTCCTGGTCTGGAGAATAAATGCTGGGAAAGAACCCCAACTCGTGGTTAATTTACAAAGGAAGGAATGCCTCTCTCTTGAGGGTTCCAGGAAATTAACCCCTTCTGGGTCTCTTACTGCTTGGAAGAGATGGGCTTTGAGTAATCCTTTTTGTGGCTCCGTCACCCAGGGCAAGAGAGGTGATAAATCTGTGTGAGGCAAAGCAACATCTGTACACCAGAACTCCCCCACTGCCTCCTCATGTCTCCACTTGGATGTCTAATGCAACTTCAGGGTGTCCAAAATTGAGGGTGGAATCTCCACCCCAAAGCCTGCCCCACCCTGCATATTGTATACTGCACACATAAGCCACATCACACTGTTCTTTTCTCACAGCACCTGGTGGTTCTCCATCTCTCTTCAAGTGAAAGAGGGGATCCTCCTGACCACCTGCAAGGCCCGGCATGGTCCTGTGCCATCTGGTTCCTGGGCCTCCACTCCTCTCCCACTTGGGCTCCCGGCCACACTAGTCTCCTTCCAATGCCAGGACCTTTGCCCTTGCTGGTTCTCTGCCTGGCACACCTTTCTTCACACACCTGCATGGCTCACTCCCTGCTGAGGCCTTTGCTGAATTCCCCGTACCCCCAGCACACACATCCCCTAACATACTGTGGTTACGCATGTATTTATTTATTGTCTGTTCCCCATGTGAGCTCCTTGTTGACAGGGACTGCTGTATCTCCAGCTCCTAGAAGAGTACCTGGCACATAGTAAGTGTCCTGTAATGATTTGCTAAGTGAGGGAACAGGCAGAGGCTGGCCAGGAACAGCAGGAGAAGGCACTGAGGGACAGGAACATGAACAGGGCATTGGAGGCACAAGAGAACTTCCATCCTCTAGGCTGGGATCCAGGAGAGAAGAAAAGAAGTACTTGGTATCAGGTTTTGGGGGGTCAGGAAGTGATGGAATCAAATTTGCATTGTACACATTTGCCTCTGGCGGGAGTCTGGAGAAGGATTAGAGCAGGTGGGGCCAGGGTGCAGCCAGGGACAGCAGCCTAGCACGGTCAGCCAGGAGGAAGGCTGAGGCCCTGCACAGATGCTTCTGGAAGGCAGACCCACTCTCCATCTTGGACCCTACCTTCTCAGTATCTGTGGTCCCTCTCTGCCTCCCTTCATGTCGTCTGCATGCCTGACCCTCATTTCTTAAACCTTCACTTCTACCCGGTGCCACAGCAGGGATATGTACACATTCGGCAACCTTTTCTCAGCTGTGGTCACCCTGCCCTTTGGACCGGTGGATACTACTTGTAGGAACTTTTATCCCTTGGGTGCGCTGTCCTTGCTTCTGTGCCATTTGTCCTTCTACTCCTTACCCAAAGCAGGAGCTTCCAAAAGTTCTGGCCTTGACCCTTTTCTCTCTCCACCTTCCTTGGTGATCACACCATCTCCTGCAGTGTCACCATCTAGAACCCTTGTGTAGGTCCAGCCTGGACTCCTACCACCTCCCCAAACCCCTCCTCCTGATGTCACAACTTCTGAGCTCGGGTGGCCCCTGGCTCCTCCCTGTGCCGTGTGCCTCCCAGCTCCAGCCCCAGCTGCTCCCCTTTCTGTTCCCAGCCACTAGATACATCAATCCTTTATCACCTCTAGCCTGGACCACTGAGTGGTCCCTCCTGGACGCTGCCACAGCCTTGCCTCCCATGGCACTAGTATGATCTCTTCGACTGGAAAGCTGTGACAAATCTTCAGTGTTGCTGCCTTGCTCAGAAGCCTGCAGTGGTTCCACATTTCTCAAAAGATCCAAACTTCCCACTCCGTCATTCAAGTTCCTCCGTAATCTTGCCACGATTTGCTTTCCCTGTCTTTATGTTCAATAAAATCTCCAAATTACCCACTGGACTAAAAACCTAATATTTATTCTTCTGTCTCCTTGTTAACTAGAATCTCAGCTCTGGCCCCTTTAAAACTCCTGATCTTCTTTAAAAGCCCAGATTAAAAGCCACCTCCCTGGTGAAGTCTGCTCGGATCCCAGACCCAGAACGCCTCCTCCCTTCTCTGAAGCCACACTGCACTGCACGCCTCTCACAGACTGGGGCTTGTCCTGTTTAAACTGATCACCTGCAGGCAGTGTGTCCTGGTGGGGAGACTATCAACGAGCTCCTCTTGAGTGTGCAACACAGCCGTGGGCCCATGATGTGTGTTTACAAAGTAGTTTCTTCTTTTCCTACTCTTTGCCACATAGATACTTTCTGTATGGTGACCTTTTTACCTATTGATCTGTGACTCATACTCAATAGTTTTCATTGCACATAGAAGGGGCTCTGGAAATATTTCTTTACTTAATAATAAATTAATTCCCTAACCGGAACCCTCGTTTCTCTCCTTTCGTACATTTTCACCAATGAACACAGTGCCCCCTGCTGCAGAAGTGTCCACAGGCCGGGCGGTGGCCGCTCCCATCCGCGGTGTCCGGTTTTCTGCACTATTGAGTGAGAATCATACAGTTAAGAGACCCATTTTATGACTTAAAACAACAACAACAACAACAACAACAACAAAAACCCTGCAATGCACGGATCGAGAATAACACACACTCCATCTCTCGGCTCGGGATCAGCCGGGGCAGGTCCATAGCGCACAGGTCGTTGCCCCGGGCTCTCGCTGGGCCGGGCTGCGCCTCTTTCTGAGGGTGAGACGGTCAGGACCGCAGTCGATGCCCTCTGCCTCCCCGGGCTCCTCCCTGCTGGCTGCTGCCCCTCCGCCTCCAGGCTCTGCCTTTCTCGAGCGCCCCCGCCCCTCACGTCTCAGCGGCTCCTGAAGCGCCCCGGGCCGGGCCGGCCTGAGGATGCGCCCTCTAGCGGTCCGGGGATTTCTGCCGGCACCGTCGAGCCGGAGCACGGTGTGCCGTCGTGGTGCTTCTGGGGCAGGTATGTCCCATCTCCCCTGCTGCATTTGAGGTGCTCAGCCCACCGATCTGACTTGGCTTGAAAAGTGGGCTCTACCGGCCTCGCGCACAGGTGGATGCCCGAAGAGCTGCCAGGCTGGAGCTTTGCAAATGCTGTAGAGCGGCCAGGAGGGGTGAGGTTCTTCATTTGTCCCTGTCCGGCCCGGGGAGATACAAGACACGCATATGCACTGACTAAGGATCTTAATCCACGTAACCAAAGAGATCTGATACCACCTAGAGGAGTGAGTGATCCCCTCTCTGTACCACCTCTTCCCTCTCACCCACCCCCTCAGCCCACCCCCAGGGAGTCAAGTGGGATCAGTCAGGGTGGCTTCCTGTAGGAGGTGAGTTTCCATGACAGTTTTACAGGCGAGAGGAGAGAGACCATTTCCTCTCACTGATCAAAGGACATATCAAAGACAGAGAGAGAGGGCACATGAGGCTGCGTGGGTGTCAGTGGCTTCTCAGGACTGAGGTTAAGTCTTCCAGCTTTCATGTGAGTGATGTCACTCGTGGGAACTCCCTATACTTGTGTGTCAGGACAAAGGCCCGAAGGGGCTCATAGGAATTTGTGCTGTGCCCCCTAGTATTCTTGGGATGAATTTCTCATTGGGGATGCGGAACTGAAGAGGGTGATGGCTTGTTCCAGGCAAGGCTCTTTCCTGTCCCTGTTGCGGGGAGGGAAGGCGACATCACTCTGCTTTGTCGCGTGTGTGATGCTGTTTGTGTGTGCCCAGGTGCATCTTTATCACAGTGGACTCGGACACCGACATCACAAGCAGGAAGGAGCCGCTGGAAACACTGAAGAGGTAGGACCAGCCAGGTGGGGTCGCAGCTTTGGGTGTAGGTCCCTGGGACAGAAGCAATTTAATATTTATAAGAGGAAGCGGTGAAAATGCCTCACACATGCAGTCTTCGTGCTGAAGGGGGTCCTAATCACTAGGTGATTTAGGAAGCATTCCTGGGTGCAGTGGTCACCAGAACTCCTGCTTGCACAGATAATTTATTCTTCATTTAGAATTCATTAACCGAATAAACCAATTAAAAAACCCCAAAACATTGCTTAGATATCTTGGCAAATTTTATCACGGACTGAGCTGTTATCAAAAAATGTACTAGGTGTGATGGATGGCATTGTGCTTATATAAGAAGTGTCAATATATTTTAGGGAAGCTTGTTGAAGTATGTATGTAGGAGTGAAGTGACATGATGTCTGGGATCTGCCGTACATTATTTAGGAAAAAAAGAATACATGAATACATGGAAAAATGCATGAAAATCTTGGTAAATAGAATCTGGGTGATAATTATGTAGGGTTATTTATTTATTTATTTATTTTGCAGTTTTCTTTCTACTTTGTGTTTACTTTAAAATTTCATAAGAAAAACTTAAAGTGAAAGACAATTTTAGAGAATAATTTTAAATTGTATATAAAGACGGCCAAGACAACATTAATTTTACAAAGGTGATTACAAAATAGCATAAATGCTATTTACTTGTTGTTTTGTTTATTTGATTTTATTTTTAAAAAATATACAAATATACACGAGTAAATAAAAAGCTGAAAGGATATAAATCAAGATGTTAATGGAGGCACTTTTATGGTAAT